TTAAACAACTACCAATATGTTTTTATCGAAATCCAATTTAACTAAAAAAAAAGTGTGGCCAAATGAATGCAAATGTCAAATGAATTCAAATAACTATTTATAAATAAATAGTACTGTCAAATAAAAAATAAACAAAATATCAAAGTCCAAGTAGTAGAATAAGAGTTTTTGGCCAACGAATTACATATATAAAAATTATATTAACAAATTTATCTTTAAAAAGTATCTTTAAACAAAATTTATTATTAAATTTATAAATTATATATTTATTTTCGGGYTTTCCGGGYCGGYCCGARYCYAATCGGGBTAAARYCCAAAAACTCAATAGCCCGAATGGGTTGAGCCCGAAAGGCCCGATTTTTTTTGGGCTTTTATATTCAGGCCCGAGCCCGGTATTTTTAAGGGTTGAGCCGGACCGGGCTTCGGGCTTTAACCCTAATTGACATGCCTAAACATAGTTATCTCACTTGTGGATTAGTTAGTTAGTCCTACCAAAATATTAAACCAAACCAAAGTTGTTCGTGGTGGTTATTGTTTGGTCACTTAGCGACTCCTTTATGTATTCAACGATGTCCAGAGATTTTTACTGCCATGAATCATGACTACTAGAAATGTGAAAAAAAGAAGAAGATAAGGGATCAAACCAGCTTTCTTCCTTGACGGGTTACGATCTTTTGAATTTTACACGATACTTGACAAGACAAACACACAAAACTTTAAATAAATGTACTTCACCAACCACAATAAAATTTCAAAACTTAATAGTAGTTATTACTCCAGTTTGTGTTGGTAAAATCAGCTTAAACATGGTTGTGATGTCGAGTCCAAAACAAAGTAATTGATTTCAAGGGAAGTAAGTACTAGTTTAGTAGAAAAAACGACAAAATTAAAGTGAACTTCTCATGTCCTTAAAAGAGACTCGCAGAGACAAATAAACGATTCCGTCATTAGTTACTGTGAAGCCAAAGCTGCGAGTGTTAATCTCATATATACCCTTTTTGGCCCACAAGAAAGCAACACTAAAGTAAAATAGAATTGATGAATAAAGTCGCATAAATGCATGGGTAAATACGTAATTTTAGAACTGTTACTGCAAATAACGCTTACCCGTTACCACCAATCGTGGTCCTCTTCTGGTCGTACACACTTTTTTATATATGTCTCCTTCTTTCACATAAAAGAGAAAGCGAACAGTTGAAGAGTTTTAAAGATTATCAATCAATTATGTAAAAACAATCTGGTGTATTTTTGTAAGTTTATATATTCTTCTGTGAAATAATTTGTTTGTTGTCTGACATTGAATTCTTTAAAAAAAGAAGAATCGGAATTT